CTATGTTATAGTTTGAATTAAATATTATTTTAATGATAAAAACTGTGTTATAGTGTGAATTCAATTAAAACTTACATTTTTCTTTTTTTACATTTTTTTTCTCCGTTAACACAAACCTGTCGTAYAAAAATTCCGCTAAACTTAAAAATTTTCCGTTCCGAGTGAATTCAGTGAATGCAACTCTACGAATTTCGAACTTACTTTCCGAACTGTTCGAATTGCATGATAGCAGTTTCGTAACTTTCCCGAAAAAACAGTCTACGATGGATTGCGTGATAGGGCTGAATGTCTTTAATATTATTATTACTAATATATGACAATAAAACTCATCACTCACCCGCTTATGGTATTTACCTCGATGGCAGCATCACCAGATTTGATGAATTTGGGGTTCTCTTCGGTGGTCTTACCGGAACGACGATCAACCATTTCTTTCTTCGCGTGTATAATGCCCGCACATATCATATTATCGGGATTAGGGTCCACAGTGTCCAATAGTTGCATACCGAATCCCATACGCTTATTGCGTGCACCCGGCAGATCCAATGACTGAAATGCCCTGAAGACCTTTTGTGCTCTTTGTTGTTCGCCGCCTAAGCTTTTCTATCGGGCGAAAAAAAAAAAATTTACTCGCCACTCATTTCCGTGGGCTAAAAAACAAACAAAAAATTTATTTAACGTCAGTGGCAATTTTATGCTGAATTTCAATTTATTTCAGCGAACTTGCAGGCAATGTGAGTGGTGTGGCACTCCAACACTGCAATGTGGCCGTTGGCAATTCGACCAGGGTGGTTCAGCACAATAACCTGGGCGGTGAAATCAGCAGCACCCTTAGGGGGCTTGCCTTGGAATCACCAGCGACATAGCCACGACGCAATTCCTTAACGGAGACGCTCGTGACGTTGAAACCAACGTTGTCACCGGGAACAGCCTTTGGCAAACCTTCGTGGTGCATTTCGTCGGACTTAAATTCAGCGGTGATGTTCGGTGATGTGAAGGGCATCGATAAGTGTCTTGCCTTCAGCATTACAAGTGCAGAGTAGCAGTAAAATTTAAATGATATAAATACATACAAACATAGTGACGAAAAAAAAGAGAGAAACTAAAAATTAAATAGAGCGCAAGTGCAAACAGCAGTGAAATTATATAAAAAAAATACAGTGCCTAAAACTGAAAATAATAGAATATAAAAACGAAAGAAGTATAAGTGTTAAAAGTGCATACATACTTACCAATCCATCACAAAAATTTACTTGTATATAAATAATATAATACAAGAAACAAAAATTCATCTGCCCGAAAAAAGCCCAACAACAAAGTTCTGGGTAGTGACCAAAAAAAAGAAAACGAAAATACACATATGTACATATATAAATAACAGTGCGGTGAACAAAATAAGCAGTTACCAAACAAAAAAAAAAACGGGCGCGGAAAAAAAACCTGATTAAAAATACACTACAATAATACAAAAATCAGCGGGCGCGAATAAAAAGCCATATACTATGTATGTATGTAACAAACACATATTAAAATAAAACGGGTGCGGAGTAAACCAACAAAAAAGAAAAAAAACCAACAACCACCGGGAACCCTTTGCAGCATTCCAGGGCAGGATTTGGAATAGCTCATAGGAACTACCATACACACTGGCCTACCCTAATACCCACAATCCCATGACGGATAACAAAGTGAGTCCTATCGATTCCTTTTCGTACTGCATTTTTCTTTTAAATTTTTGCATACATGTACATATACCATTACGATTTAAAACAAAAAACAAAAAAACTTTTTGCGTCAAATTAAATTTATTTGCATRGAATAGCTCATCCAGTTATTTTCATTTTATTTCATTAGTTTTGCAAAAATACCGGATGCCAATAAGTAAC